CCTGTTAAATTTTTTGTATATTTCAGCAAAGCCATTCTTAGATTATATTGCAATGATTTGATATTTATATTGTACTCAAAAAAATGGCAGCAGTAAAAATATTTAAAAAATGAATTAAAGAAGAAAAGAGGCTGTGAGGATAATGTATGCTACTAATTTACACGAGCATCCCGTTCGACACTTTTACGCGTATCCGACACATTCACCCCTCATCCCCAGTGAGAACTGGAAGGGGTGGCGCTCCCATGAATGCGCCGTGGAGTTTCGTGAGCTCCTTAATGAACCTAGTTCGCGAAAACCATTAATAACGAAAGGACTTGGCGAGGAGCGCGCGGGCAGGAAAAGAGAAGCCGATATTCGCGGCGAGGGCCCGAAACCGCAGATCTTTCGTGAGAAATTCTCCGGAACGGCGCGGCTGCGTCTTATCATCTCCGTTATTTTTTTTTTTTTAAAGGTGGGCTGCATCGTTCGTCTTGTTCGAACACGATCGGAAAATCATGAGGCCGAGCGAGCCGGGGAGCGAAAATATAAGTTTTAGCGAAAATAAGTTTTACGGAGAGAGAGAGACGAGTCGGAATCGCGAATGGGCTGTTTGCCAGAGGAATGAAGACCATAACGAAAGCTCTTTCTCTGCGGAAGCGGAGAGATAGTCAGTATGGCGGAGGGTGTCGACTAGCCCTAATGCGACGTATCAATATACGTGGATGGTGGTGATGGGCCAATATCGCATAAGTGGCTCGATTCGCAGTCATTTGTTACATTTTGTTCGGTCTAAGTAATTTAAGAGTCACCGTTTGCCCTCCTTCTCTTCCTCCTCCATCTTCCGAGAAGAGGATCGAGCGTGTGGCGGACGAGAAGGCGGAAATCTAAGAAAGACCGGGAGAATAAGAAAGGGAGAAAGGGTGAAGGGTGCTTGGATCCCGGTGGAAGTTACTACGGCGGGTGGAGAGGAGAGAAACGAGGGACGAGGGTGGTGCACTTCGCCTTCATTCTTCGGCAAATCGCGGCATATTTGTCAGATTTTTGTTCGAGAACAAAACCTCGCCGACCACCCCTGGCGCGAGTAAAAAGAGAGGGACGAGGGAGAGATGCGACGCCTTAAGTGGATTGGCTTCGTTCGTATATACGGTGTATGTGTATTTACGACGAATGCCTTAATTTCACTCTCCCGCCGAAGATCTCCTCGTCGCCTTCGATCTCCGGCTACGCGAGAGAAATCTCTGGCTCTCTCGCGAAATTACAGCATCACAAACGATACGTGTCTGCATATACGTTAACGTAACGATCCTCTCGCGCTCGTCGAGTCGCATAATCGCGCGAGTCCCAAGCGTGAGCAACGAGTAATCATAATTGTGGGTTAATGTAATTACGGAATGAGTAATATATCCCATCTTGAATCACGTTTTATGATATACTACATACACGCATGCAAACGCACAATAATATACACGCAGCCACGTATACGTACACCGTATACGTATTTTATACTTATAAAACCGAAAGAGAGAGAAAGAAGAAAGTAAAAAAATTCCAAATTCTTACTCACCCTTGAAGCCCTTTTCCGGCGACGAAGAATCGAAATTGTGAACGTCGGACTCAACGTCGGTATCGTTTTCTATCGGTGCATCAATCTGAAATTACAAACGTTTACAAAACACTTACTCAACAATTTTAATTAACAATGATTACAGGAAGGCGCATTTGGTTTTGTTGTCCCAAATTTTTACTTTTCGTTAATTAGTTTCAAAAATGCTGAAGTGACGTAGATTTTCAAGTATCTAATAAATGTTTATACATGATACATGTGTATGTAATTTATGATAATTTAATTTCCTTAGACAGTATAATATGACAAAAAATTTCTATTTTGTTTTATTCAGAACGTCAACTTTGAAGGCAGAAGATGATCCACATTAAATTTGAGCATCGGACACACGTGTGAACAGCTGCCAACGGCTTTAACAGCGTCTTCCCACGCGTCTTCTTAAAGCACACATGTGATCCACCGATCTATTTCGCCCCTCTATGTAATTACGCGACCATGTAAACGTGTAAACTGTTACAGTACACACATTGCGACATTATTATAGCGTTAAATGACGTTGACATTATTGCATACTGTGCATAAAAAGGTGCAGCAGTAAAATAAACATTTTCACATCGCTTAATCTTAATCTCTGGAAATGGCGTTAAAAACTATGCTAACGAATAAATTGTCGTAAGTCCGTGAAACATTCATTTCTGGGACAACATCGGAACAATTTTATTTAATGAGTAATTTAAAGAGTTTTAATACAGCTTCTTTGATGTAAAAAAATATCTAAAAATAAAAATCACTGCTAAAGAAAAAAAGATACACAGCGATATGCGTGATTACGTCACGCTAAAGAGCGTTTCTAATCATTCCAAAAAGTTGGCATGGGAATTCGAGCGAGCAGTGTTACGCGTAGGTGTGATTACGCTTCTGAAACCCCTTTTTCCCATCGAACTAAATATAGCGGGTGTCATCTCTCTCTCTCTC